CCTTCCAGCTCAGTTCCACGATTCTTTGATTATCTCAGTGGTCTTTTCCAGCCTCAGTGATTCTGTGATTCTATGAACTACCCCAGTGTCCAGAAACAAGAGAACAGTAAGGGAAAGGAGAGTATCTTAACACTGCACTGTCCAGCAAGGTCCAGCAAGGAAGGGAAACAGACCCTCATCCACCTACAGTCAGGAGGAATTGTAAGGCCTGAAGTAAGGAGCAAAGGGCAAATAGTGCCCAAAGTCACCAAGCTGGGAGGAAATGTTGATGTGCCTGAGGGCAGGAAGGCCCTACAGAGGGATCTGGACAGGCTGAGGCCAATGGGATGGGCTTCATCTAGACCAGGGGCCGCATCCTGCACTGTGGTTATAACAACCCCATGCATCAGACTTGGGGCAGAGTGGCTGGAAGCTGTGCAGAGGAAGAGGATTTGGGGTTGTTAGTCAACAGCCAGCCACATGAGCATGAGCCAGCAGGGTGCCCCGGCCCAAGAAGGCCAATGGCATCCTGGTTTGTGTCAGGAGGTGATCGTCCCTCTTAACTCAGCACTGGTAAGGCAGTGTCTCCAGTGCTGTGTTCAGTGTAAAGTCCCTCACTGCAAACAAACATCGAGGCTCTGCAGCATGTCCAGAGAAGGGCAATGGGGCAGTGAGGGGTCCGGAGCACAAGTGTTATGGGGAGAGGCTGAGGGAGCTGGGATGGGTCAGTTGTGCTTCCTGTGGTTGATGCTCAGGGCTGATGCCATATGCAGCTGATGCATTCCATTCTGTTCTTCTTTGTACCGGGATCCGTTCAATCTTCTTACACATACATGAAGTTAGCTTATATAAGCATACATCTTTGGAATGAAAGGAGTATGCCTTTAACAGGAATGAGAACGGATTCACTGCATGTGAATTATTCTTTCTGTCATTGTTTTGTAGATATTATTTAACACACGACAGCTGTTTTGTTCTGATGAAGAAGGCTGTGTAGAGAGCACTGGTTGTGACGGTGTACAGTAAGAACAGGAAGTGACAAGGCCCAATTTTTGCTAAATTTTAATAATTCTGCTAAATGCTTTATATAGTGTGCATGGATTTTCCAACTGGATATGGGATATACGTGGGAGATGAAAACATCTCTGATATTAGAGAATATATTCACCCTGTATGTAATCTTATTGCCAATAAGATATAGATATATGCTCCACACCTTGTGCTAAACAGCTTAGTGGGATACAAAAAAAAAATGACCACACAAACGTTCAGCCAATTGTTTGGTGTCAGTTCACCTTAATTTAACCTAAGGGAACTTCATAACCTCAATGAGGTTTTGGAGTTCCCTCATCCATTTGGGTGGTGACAGCCCCACATTCATATTCCCAAATCCTTTATTTTGTATCCTTCATCCCACAGGTAGCCCAGGAAGGGTGCTCCAGACCTACGTGCTCCCCAGGTCACATCACCACCTCCTTCACTGCAGCTCTGGGAACGTCTAGGAGAGAAGACAGCTCTGGTCGAGGCAAGTATCATAAATCCCCCCACGCCTGAGGGCAAAGACACTCACCATGTCCCCAGTGAGCTGGCCCAGCCCCAACAGAGCAAGGGCAAAATGGATGCAGTTACAGGTGACAGCATCATACTCCAGCACCATCTCCATGGCTGCCCGGATCCGCCACTGCAGGGCAGCCGCATCCAGTCCCCCCTTCATCCGCAGCACCTTGGCTGGGCCTCGTGTTCTCAGGAGGTGGCTCTTACCATGCTTGGCCACAATCCCTGTTGGGGATGTTCCTGAGGTGCCTGTGGTGTAGAGGAGATGGCCTTCAAGGAGGGCTGAGGGTCACAAGGAGGAGCTGGGTCCCCAAATAGGGTAGAGGTGTCCAAATAGGTTTGAAGTACTCAAGGAGTGTTGGGGTCATCAAGATGGTTAGGGAGTTGGAATCACCGGAAATTTTGGGCCCCCAAATAGGTTGAGTTTCCCAAGGAGGGTTAGGTCCCCAAATAGGGTTGAGGTGCCCAAAAAGAGTTGAGGTCGTCAAGGAGGGTTCCAAGGAACCTGGGGTATGTGTTTCCCAAATTGAGTTGAGATCCCCAAGGAAGACAGATTATCAAGGAGGTTTGGGGGCAACCTGAGGTGTTGGATCCCCAAATAGGGTCAGGGTGCCCAAGGAGAGTTGTGGTCCCCAAGCATGAGCTGCTTTGCCTCATGTCCCCTGTGCGGAGTTTCCTCCCACTGCTCACCTTCCAGGTGGATGATCTCCCCATCACCGCAATAGACACCAGCGTGGGCACCCCACCAGCCAGGTCCCCCCGAGGCCAGTGGGAAGAGGAAGAGGTCCCCAGGCTGGGGCTCAGCCGCCCCGTTGGGCACCACATCAAAGTGCCGACCCAGGAGCCCCTCACAGAGGAAGAATGCTGCTGTGCTTGCCGCTCCTGCCACTGCCTGGGGACACCACCACGTGTCACCTCCAGCCAGGTGCCACCCCGCAGGTTTGTCCCTGTCCTGCAGAAGTTTGGTCTCCATGGACAAGGGAAGAGATCTGGGAGGTCATCTCCAGCCAACTCAGGTGGACAGCTTGAGTCCAGAGCAACCATGGGCACTGAGTAAAAGCAGGTTTGCCCTATAGGTGGTAGGATGGGTAGTGCGGGGTGCAGCTGTGGATGCTGGCACTTACCTGCTTGGAGCTGCTCACCTGTAAGGACAAACATCCATTGGTCACGCTGGTAGAACTGGGACCCACCTCACCCCAGACCCCAGCTGCAGACAATTTTGGGGCAGCGTCACCAAGGTGTGTCCCTTGGTGTCACCTGTGCTGCCTTGATCTGTTGCATCCAAACCTGCCACATCCAGGAGGGCAGCCAGTACCGGAGCTGGAGGAATGGTGGGACCTTGTCCTGCAGGGTCAGCAGCAAGGAGCTCACCTGGGGGTCAGTGAGGCCAGAACCAGCCTGGTGGCACCCACACCTGCTGTCACCCACCCTCGTGGCACCCACCTCACCTCCAACATCCACTCCATTCACCCATGTCCCCTTTCCCTCACACTCAGCACAAACAATGAAGGTGCCACAACCCCTGGGTGGGAAAACAGGAATAGGGTACGATGGCCTCCCTGGTGGCTCCCCAGCTACCTGCTCCAGGAGGTCCATCTGGAAGGAAAGACATGGCGTCCACCGAGCTGTGCCACCCTGGGGATCTCAGTGTCCCCAAGTCCTTAGCAGGATCACATCACCAAACACCAAGCTATGGCCTCAGTCACCACACTATCCCTGAGCCCTCCTCTCCACCCTCACCTTAGAGACTCCTTCGATGTCCCCTTGTTGTGCTGCGATCCCCAGGCTGCAGGACCCCAAGTTGTTGGCAGTGCCAGCACCCAGGAATGTGCCCAGACTGTCCTGACCAGCCCCACCGCTGCCACTGAGCCCGCCCTGCCCAGGTGACATGGGGCCCTCCCAGGGGGGACAGTCTCCACCTGCTGGGACATTTCCTCCACTAACCCCTTGGGTGACAAAAAGGTTGTCACAAACTGCCCTCTACGATGGAACTGAGCCCGTGACCACCAGGATGGTTCCACCTCCGCCATCACAGGTCTGTGTCTATGGAACGGCCACTGGGATGTCCCCAGGGAGATGCTTGCCCTTGGGAATGGGTTTCATGGCCAGGTCAGCCCTGGAGCCCCATTAAAGTTTCATCTGAGGTCAGCAGAGGCTTTGGCAGGGCATGGCGCAGGTGACCTGGGAGCTGTCACCACCCGCTGCCCGCAGCCACTCGGCATCATTTGTCACAGCGGGCACACAAAGGGAAAAAGAGCTCCGGTAAAGGAGAGCTGATGACGGATGAAACCAGAGCCAGGCCCTGACATGGCTGAGCGCCAGTGATAGTGTTAACCCATCACAGTCACCACTGGTGCCAGCAGGGGCTGCCTGAAGTCCTACATTGCTCTTGTTTCCTTCCAGAGCCTTGTATCTCCCGGTTGCTTTTGTCCACTCTTTATCCCCTTCACCAACTCATGGTCCCTATCATCCCATTGTGGTCCCCACCATCCTCTCATCATCCTTACCGACTCTATTGCACCTCACTGCTCCCTCCCAATCCTTGTTACCTTCCTAATTCCTATTGCATCCTCCTGGTCCCTGCTGTTACCTCCTAGTCCCCATCAGTCTCTTTTGGGCTCTGTCATCTTCTCCTGGCCATCATCAGATCACCTCCTTACCCTATGGTCCCATTCCATTCCCCATCAAACCTTTCTGGTCCCCGACACTCCCTCCTGATGCTTGTCCCCTCTTCTCCCAGTCCCCACGGCACCTTCCTGGTACCTCCCACTCCCTCCTGATCCCCAGTGGGACCTCCTGGTCTCCACCATCTCCTTGTGGTCCCCATTACCCTCTCCTGATCTTTGTTGTCACCTCCTAGTTGCCCCGACCAGTTCCCAGACCCCACCCTCCCCACTTGGTTCCCTCCTGGTCCCTACAACCTTCTTCTTGTCCCCAGCCATGCTGTCCCCTGACTGCAGCACATCCATTTGGCTCCCCATGGCTGGTGGGATTAGTGCGGCCAGAGCTCAGCTACGGGTCTCAAGACTGTCAGCAGCATCTTGGGGTAATTAGTAAATTAGTAATTAAATGCTGGGGAGGAGGGAGGGAGCCGATCCCAAGGTTTTAGGCTGGGTAATCCCAAGCATCTGTCACAGAGCTGGGTCACGGGCTTTAACGTTTGCTCCTTCATATGGGGACCTCGGTGCTGAGCCCCTCAGCAGTGGCATTGGGCACTGTCTGGTCCCCAGTGTGCTCGGGTGCCCCTTTGGGCTGCTGGCAGAGACACAGCGTTGGGGGCACTTCTGGATGTTCCACTGGGGCCACGTGGCCAGGTGCAAGAGCAAATATGTGGGAACAATATTTTTGTAATTATTGGATTTCCTCGGCGCAATGATTATTGGCTGGTGGCAGATGGCTGCTGGGGCTAATCCCCTTCCCAAATCCCAGCTCCAGAGCTGGCTTTTTACTGGTGGTGTGGAGGGGAACATGGCTGGGTGGCAAATTAGCCAAGTCAGTGCTCATCACCATCCCAGGGGGCTGAAAGCCAACACATCCCATTACCATGGGGTATCCAATGTCTGTCCCATGGGCAGTGGCCAAAGAGACCCGTGGGTATGCAAGGTACCCAGTTCCCATTGCATCAGCCCAGCACCATTGTGGTGTTGCTTATGGTAGGGACAAGATGGAGCCATGGACTGGGACATGGGAATTAGATGTTGGGATGGAGGATGCCGCTGATGGGATGGAAGGATGCTGCATTTGGGATGGGGTGATGGTGGCAGTGGGATGGAAGATGCTGCAGTTGAGATGGGGTAATGCCACATGTAGAGGTGATGGAGTAATGCTGCAGGTGAAGATGGAGATGGATGGAGTCTCATCCCCCATATCCCCTCGTGTCACCACCACTGGCCCCCAGCAGGACCCTTGTGATAGATCCACCCCAACCTCAGCCTCAAGAGTCCATCCCCCTCCCTGTCCCTGTCTCCACTGGCCCCACAGCCCACCCCGGATGGCCGCAGGGGGGTTTAGCATCTAAAGCCCTCAAATCTCAAATTGTGCTGCCCTGTCACAGCGAGGGTTTAGCCTTCGTTGCGTAACCCTGGGGCCACCTGGCCCCACGCTGCTGCGTCAGCAGCCACGGCCCAAAGCCCCCAAAGGGACACAGGCTGCTGGCCCCTGGGGGACACACGATACCCCTGTCCCAGCACTAATCCTCTTTGGGAGAACCCCACCAATTATCCCCCTCAATTGGGGCTTGTAATTAATTGCCTGGGAACAGGGAAGGGGGGCTTTGTGTCTTCCCCCCACCCTGTAATTACCACTTTTCGTTATTCCTCTCTAAACTCCTTAACAAGGGGCTTATGTGCTTACAGGGTCCGGTGGGCGCAGCACGGGGGGACATGGGGGTCAACCCTGCACCCCAACACTCCTCCGCAATCTCAGCCCTCCACTTCCCGGGGCCAGCATCGCTGTGACCCCCGTGTCCCCACCACGGGTGGCTTTGGTGGCTTTGGTGGCTTTGGTGTCACAGGGTTTAGGGTTACAGAAAGGCAGCCATGCCGGGGCTCAGCACCTTTTTAATTCTTCATCGCGTGGCTGATTGATCCCCCCCCGCACAGACACTAAAGATTAAGACAGTGACAAACAGGCGGCTGCTTACACAGCGCCCGCGCTAATCTGCCTTGAAGAGAGCACAGCCACAGCCCCATCCTGCAGACGGGGACGGGGACAGCCCAGCATGTCTGCATCGCCGGAGGGGTCGGTGGTGAGCGCCGGGCTGGAGGACAGCCCCTCGGGTAAGAGCCACATCCTGCTGCACAGGTCTGTCCCCAGTGGGTCCTTCTGTGGGATGCTTGGGTCCCCATCGGTGTCCTTCTTCAGGAATCCGTGGGGTCCAAACATGGTCCTTTGGGATGCTCGGGGTCCTCCATTGTGGTCCTTCTCTGGGATGCTCAGGGTTCTCCATCGTGGTCTTTCTCGGGAATTCTCAGGATCCCCCATCATGAGCTGTCTCCAAGATATTTGGATCCTTATCACAGTTCTTTCCTAGTATGTTTGGGGTCCCTCATCACGGTTCTCCTCTAGAATATTTGGAGTCCCCATCATGGCCCTTCTCCAGAATTTCTTGGGTCCCTATTACAGTCCTTCTCTAGGATGCTCTTAGTCACAGTCCTTCTCTGAGATCCTTGGGAATTCTCATCATGGTTCTTCTCCAGTGTGTATGGCTTCTCCATCATTATTTTCTTCCCCAGGATATTTGGGGTTGCCATTGTACACCTTCTCCAGGATGCATAGTGTCCACCACCACCTTCTTTCTGCAGGATGCTTGGGGTCCCCCGTGGTTGTCCTCATCCAAGACACATGGGTTCCCCAGCCATGATCCCTCTCCATGGTGCCCATGGTCTTCATTGTGGACCTTTTCCACCATCCCGGGGTCCCCCATCGGCGTCCTTCTCCTGGATACTTGGGGTCTCCAGCTCTGTTCCTTCTCCATGATGCCTACAGACCCTCTTCTAGATGTCTGTGGTCTCTGCTCCTCCCCCAAGGACTCCGTGGTCCCCTGCTGAGACTCTCCTGTGGGGCCATGGTCACAATCACAGCTCCTATCTGGGGTCATGTGTCCCCAGCCATGGCCCTTCTCCAGGACACCTGTGGTCCCCACTTGTGGCTCTTTGTCATGATGCATGTTGTCCTCTCACTGGGACAACCGGTGTCCCCAGCCCCAGGGACACCATTTAATCCCATTTAAAAGTCCCATGAGAGCTCATTCCATGGCATCCCTGGGGTGTGGGCTGATGCTGAGCCCTGTGTGCACCTTTTGGACTCCTCATCCATGTCCCCTGGGATATCTGAGTCCCCTGGGCCGGACCCACGGAAGTGGCAGTGCCCATCTGAGTGAGGGGACTGATGGAGGGGGGTGGGAGACACTGGGGTGTCCCTGCTCACCCTGAGTGTTTCGGCTCCTCTCCTGCAGGACTGAGCCCGGCCCCTGGCAAGGCGCTGAGTCCCGTGCTGCTGTGTAAGGTGTGTGGGGACACCAGCAGTGGGAAGCACTATGGCATCTATGCCTGCAATGGCTGCAGCGGCTTCTTCAAGCGCAGCGTCCGCAGGAAGCTCATCTACAGGTGGGGATGCAGAATAGCCAGCTGGTGGGGACCCAGGGGACGGACACGGGGTGGGACAAAGGCTGCGGGTACAGGGGGGGCACATGACATTCATTGGGGCAGGACACCCATCAAGAGAGGGTATTCACTGGGACAATGCACCTGTATGGGACAAGGCACCTATAGGGGATGAGGGCACCCAGAGGGGATGTGCATCTGCAGGGGATAGAACATCCCTGGAGCAAACAAGGCATTTGTTGGGGCAGGACACTGATGGTGACAACGGACCCATGGAGACAAGGCACCCATAGGGACAGGATATTTACTGGGGCAGGGCACCCACTGGGTGAAGGCCACCCAGCAGGAACAAACCCTCCCCAACATGGGGCATCCATGGGCCATGGGACACCCAGGGAGAAGAGGGCCATCCCTGTGGGTGCAGCCAGGTACCACCTTTCCCTGCAGGTGCCAGGCAGGGACAGGGCTGTGCCCAGTGGACAAGGCACACCGCAACCAGTGCCAGGCATGCCGGCTCAAGAAGTGCCTGCAAGCCGGCATGAACAAGGATGGTGAGCAGGGCGGATGCGCTGGGGAGGGAGGTGGCAGCGTGTGTTGGCTGCAGTTGATGTCACCTTGTCACCACAGCTGTGCAGAATGAGCGCCAGCCCCGGAGCACAGCCCAGGTCCGGCTGGATAGCATCGAGCTGGATGCCAAGCTGCCCCCGGAGCACGTGGCTGCCACGCGTGATGTCCCCCCAGTTCCCTGCCCGGCTCCCCGTGGCCCCGGGGCTACTGCTGCCACTGCTGCCGTCCCCCGCACGCCCACACCGCCCAGCAACCACCGCTTCATGGCCAGCCTGATGACGGCCGAGACCTGTGCCAAGCTGGAGCCTGAAGATGGTGGGTGACCGCCGGTGGTGGGGAGGTATGGGGAGCAACGGGGTGATGTTGTGTCCCTGTCCCTGCAGTTGATGAGACAGTAGATGTGACGGGTGGTGAGCCTGAGCGGGCGGGCGGTGAGTACCAGGTGGCCCCGTATCCAGCAGCTGGTCCCGAAAATGTCTACGAGACCTCGGCACGTCTCCTCTTCATGGCTGTCAAGTGGGCAAAGAATCTGCCTGTCTTCTCCAATCTGCCCTTCCGGGACCAGGTAGGGACCCCAAAAGTGTTAGGTTGGGATGGGGTTGGGATGGGAATAGCCTCTCCATGACCACAAAGTGAACCTTGGGGTGTCCCCAGGATGCCACTTTCTGGCCACGGGGTGATGTTCCTCTGCCCACCCAGGTGGGCTGATGGGTTGTGGCTGCCCCCAGGTGATCCTGCTGGAGGAGGCGTGGAGCGAGCTGTTCCTGCTCTGTGCCATCCAGTGGTCCATGCCCCTGGAGAGCTGCCCGCTGCTGGCCGTCCCCGAGCCGTCCCCCGGCAAGCTGCTGCCAGCTGCTGTGGACGTGCGGGCACTGCAGGAGACCCTGGGACGCTTCAAAGCATTGGCAGTCGATCCCACCGAATTTGCCTGCATGAAGGCTGTGGTGCTCTTCAAGCCAGGTGAGAGCGCACATCCAGCTCCTCCGCTGCCTGTCCCCGTGTCACCCCAACACCCGCTGTCCTGGCAGAGACCCGCGGCCTGAAGGACCCTGAGCAAGTGGAGAACCTGCAGGACCAGTCTCAGGTGATGCTGGGCCAGCACAACCGCTCCCACTACCCCGGGCAGCCCGTCAGGTACAGCCAGCCCCAGCCCCGGAGGTGCCGCTGACAGCGGGGTTTGTGACACCGCTCCATCCTCCAGGTTTGGGAAGCTGCTGCTGCTCCTGCCGGCGCTGCGCTTCCTCTCCTCCGAGCGCGTCGAGCTGCTCTTCTTCCGCCGTACCATCGGCAACACCCCCATGGAGAAGCTGCTCTGCGACATGTTCAAGAACTGACCCCTCCCTGTTGTCACCTGGCTGCTGCTCGGTGTCTTTTGGGATAGCCCGGGCTGTTTGTCCCTCCGTGCCGGCACTCCGTCACCCCCCGCCTCTCCTCGGGGTGTGGACGTCCCCAGGCCAGCAGTCAAGTCCTTGGGGTGCTCCCAAGTGGTGCAGGAGGCTGGGTGGCAGGGGGACATCTCCAGGGTGGCACCAGGACCTCACGGGATGGGCACCTCGATGGGTACTGCTGCCTCCAACTCAACCCTGAGCACTGCCTGGACACGGTGTCAGCAGCGCCCCAACCCAGGGACGTGACACCAGCCTGGGGGTGGCACTGGTGGGGGACACGTGGGGACAGAGCTGTCATCCCATCCCAGGGGCCTTGCAGCCAGCCCCCTGTTTTGTACTCCGAATAAAGAGGGCTTTTGCAGACAGCCTCCTCGTGCCCTTCTCTCAGGGTCTGGCACTGGGGACACTGGGGACACAGGGCCAGAACAGCCAGCTGAAAACCACATCTCCAGCTCCAAAAAGAAAGCCAAGAAGCAACACCCACCTGCAGACCCACAAACCAGAGGTGATATCCCCCTCGGTGCTGCGTCCCCAAGGTGCAACCCCCCACGTGCCCCCAAAGACATCACCCAGCGCTCCTCGTTACAGCTCTTTAATAAGCAAGGGCTTCACTCGGCCGCTTTGTACAGCCACACGGAACACGCCGGAGAAATATTACACAGAATTGCACTTTATACAGAACAACGGCCTCGTTGCAGGAAGGAAGGGAACAACATTAATTAACAAATTAATGAGAACGCGCAGACGTGACGTGACAGCTTGACGGCTGCCCGCGGCACTGGGCAGAGATAAATCATTCTCCTTTATATAATTACACTTTTTTTTTTTTTTAATTTTTTTTAATTTTTTTTTTTTTTTTAAACAGGTAAAATTCATAGAGAGTGTGACACAGGATAATATATCCTCTTACAATACATACTTCTGTGGGTTTGGGTTTTTTTTTTTTCCTTTTTAACTTACACTCGGCATTCTTATAAATTACTTTAAAAAATTTCCATTAAAAATAATAATTAACAACACGCAGCCCACGTCCTTTCCAGTAGTAAGTACATTCACTTGGTACGAGGAGCGGATCGTCTTCCAAAACCAACACTGTGCCCCAGAACGGCCGCGCATGGGCACGGGGAGCAGCACGGTGCCGGCTCTGTGCTGGGTGGGGACCTGCTAAAACCACCCCAATTTCTGGGGGCTCATCGCTCATTGCTAGTTTAGATCCTGCCAGTGAGAGGGATATATACAAAATAATATATATATATATGTTATTACATACATGGAGGTGATGCGTCAGCTAGATGCGCCGTCCCTGCTGCTCCTGTGGTGCCGGGGGGAGATCGGTGTGGGATGGGATGGTGCTCTATTGGAGGAGACCTCGTCCTAAAAACTGAGCTTTGAAGGATAGTTTTGGTGGGATTTCTTTAAATAACAAGGCCTTTCCACTAAGCGAGAGGGAGAAGTGGCTCATCCCAACGCGGGGGGCTGTGTGGAGATGATGAGCTCCCCACATCACCACGTGGCTTAAATCCAAAGAGAAAACAAAAACAACCACCAACAACAAAAATTAAAATAATAAAAAGGCAAATAAATAAAACACCCCTTGAAATCACTGGCACTGGGGCCGGGAACGGGGGGCTGCATCGCTGCATCCCTAGCCCCAGTGAAACCAACAGAATACATGCAGGAAGACTCAAGTTTTTGGTGTTCTCCATCTTTTTGAAGGTGTTCAGGGAAAGGCGCGGAGCCCAGCCTGCCCAGAACGCCAAGCAGAAAGGGGCAGACCCAGCACCTATGGATCCCATCAGCGTCCCCAGGCTCCCAATCTCTCCCATCCTAGAGACAGGCAGCCCCCCGGCTGCAGCAGGAGCCAGCAGTCCCATGAGTTAGCGAGCGCCACTCGTTAGTGCTACTGCAGGCAGTGCTTCTGAGCCCTGCTAATGAGAGCCTGATGGAGCAGTGGTGGAAGATGCAGTGATGGCCAGGACCTGTGCTGCCCACTGACCCCTCGCCCTGGCACAAAGTCCTCTTTGGGGCAAAATATTAAAAAAAAAAACAAAACAATAAAACACAAAACCAATAAAAAAAGTATTTACAATAAACTCCAGTAAACCAGAATATAAACAGAGCTTCAAGTAAGTCCTTGATTATTATTATTTTAATACTGATGGTCTGAAAAAAAAAATAAAAAAAAACTACCACGAGAGGAGGGCACATCGGAAATAAGAAAGAAAAACCAGAGCTGAGTCCTTTTGGCAGATCTCCTTCTCACTGCTCCATGTGCCCTGCAGCTCATGCACACGGCGCTGCGTTTCGGTGTCCTGCTTCCCACTGCCTCCTCCTCCTCCTCCTCCAGCACAGAGGACCTGGCACGGCGGCTCCTTCCCTGACGTCCCTCTGTCTGTCCCTCTGTCCCCGCACCAGCCGTCCCAACCCCACACCATTGAGGCCACCGCTGAACCTGTCCCCAGCAGCTTCCGCATGGAGCGCTCATTTTGGAGCCCGAGTGGTCAGGGGATGACAGTGACGATGATGGCAATGGGGACGTTGTCACCCTGGCGTCTCACACCATGAACTCGTTGCTCCCCAGCAGGACAAGCTGCTGGCCGGTGCTGCGGTCAGCGTCGGGGTTCCTTTTGCGGCCCAGCCCCCCTTCTGGCGGCTCTTTGGTTTTCGGGGGGGAGTTCTTCACGCTCTTCAGTTTCTGCTTCCCCTTCTCGGGGTTGAAGGTCCCACGTGTGGTGAACTGGGGCCGCTCGTCGCAGTGGGGCTCGGGGGGCTCGCCCAGGGCCCCCGCTCGGTAGAAGGGCGACTTGGAGTACATTTGGAAGCGCTTGCGAGGCAGGTGGGGCAGGCAGGAGGTGGACGACTGGGAGGAAGAGGAAGATGAGGAGGAGGAGACGAGGGATGGATTCGGCATGTCCGCCACGTCTGGCCGTGTCCTGGGGTGCCGCCGCAGCCGGCCTGGCCCCTCCGCCTTGATGGGGCGCAGGGAGCTAAGTGCTACGCTTCGCTCTGCAGGACAGGGAGCAGCAGGGTTAGTAATGCGGTCCTCGGAAGTATCTGGGCTCCCTGTCTCAGCAGGGACATATAAAGCAGGGAGAGAACCCAATCCAACACAGGTGAGATGATCCCACCTCCACTGCATCGCTCACAAAGACATCCTGGTGTCCTGGCAGTGGGAACAAAACCCGAGCACCTGGGACACCATGCCGAGAGAAGCACACACCTCCTCACCCAGCAGGGGCAGCATGACCTACAGACCCTGGGTGTTTTAATCATTAATTAACACCAATCTCATTCATCCAGCTACATTGCTCTATGCAGAGCTTTGCTGTGGAACAACTGCACTGAGTCCTGTCTGACTACAGGTCCTACTGACTCACCCGACCGATCGGAGATGGCTCCTTCGGAGTCGAAGTTCAGGTTTTCTGAGCTGTCAGCAGTGCCGATGGAGGCTTCCGACTCGAGCGTTTCATCATCAGAGGCGCGAGGCTCCAGCGTCAGCATCTCGAACGTCAGCTCCTCCCTGCAAAACCCAACTCTGTGACCCAACAGGACCAAAAAAGAGGTGAGGAAAGCAAGAGGGACGCACAGAGTCCTCCAGTTCAACCCACGAGCAGCACATCCACCCCAGAACCAACCGCCACCACGTCATCCCCAAGTTGAACCTCTAGATACAAGACGTGGAAGTGAGCCAAGCTTGAATTCAAGGGCAAACTCACTTCTCCTTCTGCAGGCTTTCGATCTGCTCAGTCAGCACCCTCTCCTCCTGCTGCATGGCTGCTTGCTGCTGCTCTGTCACATCCAGCTCCATGGCCTCCTCGCTGCTCACGGTCTCCTCAGGGACATCAGACACCGAAGGCAGGCGCACGGCCACAGGGGACGTAGGGCTGGGGTAGGTGCCGCGCCGCACGCGGCCTTTGCCCTGAAGATAAACATCAGTGTCAGGCGAGGATTATTTTGCACAGCCCATTTTTGGGGGACTCCTCCTCCCTGGCACAAAGGGAGCTACAAGATGCAATGGGATGATGCGACACAACGGCAGGTTTGAGAGGAGGAGGGTCTGCTAAGCAGGTGGGGGAAAGCACTGCATAAAAAAAACAGGTGAGGAGTAGTTGAGGGGAACAGCAAATAAACTAACGGTCAAATAGAGTCCTGCATTTTAAAACTTCTGATTATGAAAAAGGTCTTAGATGGGAGTATCATAGATGGAGAAATATTGCGAGTGCAAATGGCCTCTGCTTTACCTTCGGAGGAGCTGCTCCACAGGGTGAAAGAGAAATACTGATTTTTGGACACAAAAGGTGCTGAGGAGTTGTGTGCTTTGTGGGCACGCCATGGCCATTAGAAACATTTTATCCTAACCGTTGCTGTAATGGAACACAACTCATCTCCTGAAGTCAGGATCCTGAACTGGTCAGAGAGTGAAAGACGAGTGCAACACGGAAAACCCAGCACTTGCCTCTGCTCCAAATACAGGCTGCCCTCTTCTTTCAATCATTGTGTTTCTTGGTGAAACTGAATCCCCTTCTTGCTGCACTCTGCCTCACTCATCAGCTCACAGCTTTTTTTCCCACAGGGCTATTTCAGCACTGCAGCTGAGGTACCTCTTGGTTTTTCTCATAACCTACATGCCCAGAATATGGGAGAAAAGCCTCCCTCACTTTGAAAAGCCTCCCTTTTTCACTTTGAAAGCAAAAAGCTATCAGGAATGCAAGCAGGGATCTTTCCTTGAATGGCAAAGCAAACCTATGCTGACATCAATGGGACACGGCCCAAGTGGGAGGCAACGCTGAGCACTGCTTCCCCCTGCAAGGTTTGTTAAATCCTCCAGCCTGGACAAACGCTGCTGCTCAGCACTAAGACGTAAGATTTGCTCCATTTTACCCTTTCATCTCCTGCTGTCGCACCTGGGAGATCTTTCACAAAGGAGCTTCCGCGCACCGCAGCAACGTTCCTCCGATGGCATCACGTGGGCTGCTGAGCCGAGGTACAGCCACCTGAATCCTATTAGGAAAAAGCCCTGAGCTCCCAAAGATCCCCTGTGCCTCGTGTATTGCTGTCCCTGCCTATGGGGCGCTCAGCAGCGAGCGGATGCTGCGGTGACGACATCCACGTGGGCTTTCAGCAAAGCCCTCTCTTCTCCCAGCTGCTGCAAGCGGAAAATTCTGCGGTGGGTCGGATGTGGGTTTGCTCATAGTGCTTGCGTGTCCAATGCTGGCTGGAACAAGCAAGGCGACAACACTTTTTGATGGTAAGAGTAGGGCTTGCTCTAAAAGAAGGAGCTTTCATGGTCCTACATTTGATCTCACTGGGGAGTGTGCTGCTGCAGGGCTGCTGGGTGCCCACATCCATCCTGGGCTGCCCTGACCATCAGGGGACAGCAGCCCAGCCGCCCCGAGTCCTTCAGTAGATGCCATATGATCACCATGGGATTTACCCACCGCAGTCAAAGCAGTGGCTTCACAGTGCCTAAATGCAACCCCAGCAGGAGTCGTGGATGGGAGCA